GCTCTACCACTGAGCCACCTTCCCAGCCCCCGTGAGACTCTTATCTCCAGTAAACTACTCAGAAAAATCCAGAAGTGGGCTGGGAATGTGGCTTAGAGGTAGAGTGCTTGCCTAGCATGCATGAAGCCCTGGGTTTGATTCCTCAGTAGCACATATACAGAAAAAGCTGGAAGTGGCGCTGTGGCTCAAGTGTAGAGTGCTAGGCTTTAGCAAAAAACTCAGGGACAGTGCCCAGTCCCTGAGTTCAAGCCCCATGACTGGCCAAAAAAAAAGAAAGAAAAAGAAAAAAGAAAAAGCCAGAAGTGGCACTGTGGCTCAAGTGGTAGAGTGCTAGCCTTGAGTGAAAAACCTAAGATATAGTACTGAAGTCCCAGTAACAGTAACAGCACCAAATGAAAAACAAAAATCACAGAAAAGAGAAAGTAGAGAGATTTCCTAGCAATCATGAGGTCCTGAGTTCAAATCCTAGAACCATTTTAAAAATTCCTTAGGAAAACAGAGCTTAGAATGGAAAGAACCACACATGACACTGTGACAAATTGAAAGACCCACTCCCTCACATCAACCTTTTTACTTGTGGTGATTCTGGGACCTGAACTTAGGACCTAGGCATTGTCCTTGAGCTTTTTTGCTCTTGGCTAGCACTCTACTGCTTGAGCCACAACTCTATTTCTGGCTTCTTGGTAGTTAATTAGAGATAGAGTCCCATGGACTTTCCTGTCCATGCTGGCTTTGAACTTCAATCCTTTCATCTCAGCCTGCTGAGTGGCTAGGATTATAGGCATGAGCCACCAGAACCCAGTCACATCAAGTTTTGATGTCTCCTTATGTACACCAATATTTCAATTATCTTACTGCATCTGACAGATTTACTTTTATTTCTAACTCCAAATTCTTGTATTACCTGCCGACAACCCTAAAGAACTAAGTTATTACTGTCAAAAGCACATAGATAGGTGGTAAGGAATAACTCACTGACTGCTAATTCACATCATTTATAGGATTGCATTAAAAATAAGTTCATTACATAGGTTTTTTTAAGCAGACAGAACAAGTTTATTTTATTCTTTTGGGTCAGTCCTGGGGCTTGAGCTCAGGGCCTGGGCGCTGCCCCTGAGCTTGCTTTGCTCAAGGCTAGTGCTCTACCACTTTGAGCCACAGCACCACTTCGGTTTTCTGGTGGTTAATTGGAGATAAGAGTCTCACTGCCTTTCCTACCTGGGCTGGCTTTGAACTGTGATCCTCAGATCTCAGTCACCTGAGTAGCTAGGATTACTAGCATGAGCCACTGGTGCCCAGCTTAAGCAAGTTTATTTCAAAGTAAAGTGGAAGTAGCAAAAGACTCTCCGAAGCCAGGGTGGAGGGGATAGGGTGGGGTGGGGGTGGGGTAGTGAGTCCAATGAAGTCCTCTTAGAAAGCTGTTAGTAAGGAACGGGACGCCTTCTGCATCTCTTGTTTCAGTTTTAAAGGAGGGTTGAAAATGTACTCACCTCTGCTTTTGCCTCAAGGATAGTCCTGGTCTTCCTTACCAGGGACGTGTCAAATGACTTGATTGTTACTAATTCTACCACTGCATTCCCTCCATAAAGATTGTACATGTCATCTGCAAACTGAAAGTCAGTCAGTGACATTAGTAGGAATCTCAGATTCATGCTTTTTGCTTTCCCTTGTATTTCTTAACTGACAAAGAAAAAAATCACAAACAATTGTCACTCAGTATCCATACAGGATTGCTTCCAGCACACGCTCCAGAGTCTAAAACTAACATATGCTTATCTCTGTTTTTTTTTGGGGGGGGGGCTGGTTATATAGGGCTTGAACTCAGGGCCTGGGCACTGTCCCTGAGCCTCTTTGTACTCAAGGCCAGCACTCTACCACTTGAGCCACAGTGCCACCTTCAGCTTTTTCTGAGTAGTTTATTGGATAAGAGTTTCACGGGCTTTTCTACCCGGGTTGGCTTTGCCAGTCCAGGGGCTTGAGGACTGGGCATTGTCCCTAAGCTTCTTTTGCTCAAGGCTAGCCACTCTACCACTTAAGTCACAGAGCCACTTCTGGCTTTTTTTTCTGTTTATGTGGTACTGAGGAATTGAACCCAGGGCTTCATACATGCTAGGCAAGGATTCTACCACTAAGCCATATTCCCAGCCCCAATATCTCAGCCTCTTGAGTAACTAGGATTGTAGACATGAGTCACCGAAATCTGGCTTAAGTCTCTAAATAAAATGATATAGGACTTTCATAGCCCCTATGCATTGCATTCTATATACTTGAAATCACCTCTGGAGGACTTATGCTACCTAAACCACTGTAAATACTATATAGATTAGTTGTCATGCTGTATTGTTTATGGAATAATAGCAAGAAATACCAGATATAAGTATTTGTTATGCACAAAATATTGTTTTAAAATATGAACACAGGCAGGTACCAGTGAATCCTGTAAACCTAGTGAATCTGGACCTTGAGATCTGAGGATAATAGCTCAAAGCCAGCCTGGACAGGAAAATTCATAGACTCTTTTTTTTTTCTCTGTTGTGGGGCTTGAACTCTGGGCTTGGGCACTGCCCCTCAGCTCTTCAGCTCAAGGCGAACGCTCTACTGATTGAGCCACAGCATCACTTCCGGCTTTCTAGTGATTTTATTGGAGATAAGAGTCTCACGGACTTTCCTGCTGGGGCTGGCTTTGAACCATGATCCTCAGATCTCAGCCTCCTGAGTAGCTAGGATTACAGGCGAGAGCCACTGGTGCTTGGTTCCATAGGCTCTTCTCTCCAATTAATCATCAGAAAACTGGAAGTGAGCTGTGGCTCAAAGTGGTAGAGCACTGGCCTTGAGCAAAAAGAGCTCAGCGCCTACGCCCTGAATTCAAGCCCACCAACCAACCAATATACATATATATATATATATGTGTTTGTGTTATATGAATATATATGTGTTTTATATATATATATATGTATACATTGTGGAATGGATAAATCAAGGCAATTAACATATGCCCTGTGGCAAGTCAAATACATACTTTGTAGAATTACTTGGAAAGCTCCTGGGAAGACATGACAGTAAGATGCAATCACTTATTGGCTCCTGATGTATGGCTGAGTCTAAAATAGAGAAGTCTTGCCGGGTGCTGATGGCTCAAGCCTATAATCCTAGCTTCTCAGGAGGCTGAGATCTGAAGATCACGGTTCAAAGCCAGCCTGGGCAGGAAAGTCCGTGACACTCTTATCTCCAATAAACCACTAGAAAACCGGAAGTGGAGCTGTGGCTCAAGTGGTAGAGTGCTTGCCTTGAGCTGAAGAGCGCAGGGACAGCACCCAAGCCCAGAGTTCAAGCCCCGTGACGGACCAAAAAAAATAAAATAAAATAGAGAAGTCTTATAGACTTTGAATATGGTACAATACTCAGAAAAATGTTAAGCTTTCATATATATATTCAACTGTTGAAAATAAAATTACTTTTAGACAATACTGCAAGCTGGGTGCTGGTTGCTCATGCCTATAATCCTAGCTACTCAGGAGGCTGAGATCTGGGATGGTAGAAGGAAGAATTCTGCCTAAGCAGTGTATGATTCATCACAAACATCTATAAAGATGTATGCATGAAGCTTCACTGAAGAAGTATGCTGAGTTGGGCTGGGAATGTGGCTTAGTGGTAGAGTGCTTGCCTAGCATGCATGAAGCCCTGGGTTTGATTCCTCAGTACCCCATACACAGAAAAAGCTGGAAGTGGTGCTATGTCTCAAGTGGTAGAGCTCCAGCCTTGAGCACAGGCAGGCTCAGAGACAGGGTCCAGGGCCTTAGTTCAAGCCTAGGATCAGCAAAAAAAAGAAAAAGAAAAAAAAAGGAAGGAAGGAAGAGGGAGGGAGAAAGAGAAAGGAGAGAAACAGAGAAAGAGAGAGGAGAAGGAGGGAGAGAAAAGAAAAGAAACCTGGGCACTGGTGGCTCACACCTGTAATTTTACTCAGTTGGCTAAGATCTAAGCATTGTGGTGTGAAGCTAGCTCAGTGGGAAAAATCTGAGGGACTCTAATCTCCAATTAACCACCAAAAAGCTGGAAGTAGGGCTGTATCTCAAGCAGTAGAGCTCCAGCCTTGAGAAAAAAAGCTGAGGAACAGCATCCATGCCGTAAGTTTAATCTGCAGTACTAGCACAAGAAAGAAAAAGAAAGAGAGAGAGAGAGAGAGAAAGAAAGAAAGTAGGGAAGGAGGGAGGAAGGGAGGGAGGAAGGAAGGAAGGAGAGTAGACAGAGAGAAAATAAGAAAAGAAAGTGAGAAAGAAAAAGAAGGAAAGAAAGAAAGAAGGAAGGAAGGAAAGAAGGAAAGAAAGAAAGAGACTTCAATCAATAGTTTTGCATACAAGACTTTTCCAGTGAGGAACTAAAGTGAAATGGCCACCCTACAATCTTTCACCACACTGTTAGTTACCTTTTGCAGAGCATCAACAAGGATCCTGGAAGCTTCTCTGAATTGTTCTGAGTCTTCTCCATAATGTTTCCCAATCTCATCCAGACCTGCTAGCTCCAGTGAATACAAATCAGGAGAATGATCCTTGGCTAAGTGCTTGTGGCGAGATAACTTAGGAGAACAAACAAATAAAAAATAAGCTGGCTAGGAATGTGGCTTAGTGGTAGAGTGCTTGCCTAGCATGCAAGAAGTCCTGGGTTCAATTCCTCAGTACCATATGAACAGAAAAAGCCAGAAGTGGCACTGTAGCTCAAGTGGTAGAGAGGCTAGCCTTGAGCAAAAGAAGCTCAGGGACAGTGCCCAGGCACTGAGTTCAAGCCCCAGGACTGGCAAAAAAAAATAGGAAGTAAGTTGCCCACAGTCAAAGGTTTATGCCTGAAGAAACAGGCTATCATAGAACATACAAGTAGACAGAAGTATGCAATCTAAAGAGAACTGACTAAAATGGGAGTTTCTAATCTAACAAACCTCATCTTGAGGAATTTATTAAATAAAAGCTTAGCCAGGCACCGGTGGCTTACACCTAGAATCCTAGCTACTCAGGAGGCTGCATTCTGAGGATCAAATCCAGCTGGGGCAGGAAAGTCCGTGAGACTCTTATCTCCAATTAACTACCAGAAAACTGGAAGTGGCACTGTAGCTCAAGTAGTAGAGAGCTCACCTTGAACTGAAGAGCTCAGGGACAGTGCCTAGGCCCTGAGTTCAAGCATCAGGGCTGGCAAAAAAAATATTCACTTAGCTGTTAGCTGTGCACTGGTGGCTCATGCCTATAATCCTAGCTACTCAGGAGGCTGAGATCTGAGGATTGTGGTTCAAAGCCAGCCCAGCAGGAAACTGCAGGAGATTAATACCCCCAACAAACTACTCAAAAAGTTGGAAGTGACTCTGTGGCTCAAGTGGTAGAGTGCTAGCTTTGAGCACAGAGAGGCTCAGGCACAGTGCCCAGGCCCTGAGATCAAGCCCCAGGACCAGCAGAACAAAAAAGAACATTCACCACCCAAATTGCTTTGAGATGGTTTTTATTCCCTTCTTGAATTAGTTGACAGGTTTATTATTTCAAGCTGTTATTTCTGTGTTCAATCCAAAGCTATAGACATAGGAATTAAGCCTTCATGTCTGCCAAGAAATCAGTGGCTAAATTTGAATTACAGCCAGGACACTCTTTCTACCAGGCTTGTGTTCTCGGAGGCTAAACTGTCTCTTCCAAGGGCAGAAGTGCAAAAGAACAAAAACAAAATGCTAGCATAAGATGTGTTCAAAGTTTCTGCCACCAGCCATGTGCTGGTGGTCATGCCTATAATCCTAGCTACTCAAGAGGCTGAGATCTGAGGATTGTTGTTCAAAGCCAGCTTGGGCAGTTAAGTCTGTGAGCCTCTTATCTCCAATTAACCACTAGAAAACTGGAAGTAGAGCTGAGGCTTAAAGTGCTAGAATGCTAGCTTTGAGCTGAAAAGCTCAGGGACTACACCCAGATCCTGATTTCAAGCCTGAGAACACACAATTTTTTCTACTGCCACCATCACCACTAATTTCTCCATTTCTATGGGATCATAAATGTAAAGAATCTCAACTGGCTGCACTATCAGTAAAAGAGTCTCTAGATGGGAAAATACAAGGAGTTGGATACTGGTAGCTCATGCTTATAATCCTAGTAACTCAGAAGACTGAAATTGGAGCATTGTGGTTTGAAGCCAGCCCAGGCAGGAAAGTCCATGAGCTTCTTATCTCCAATTAACCACAAAAAGTTGGAAGTGGAGCTGTGGCTCAAGTGGTACAGTGCCAGTCTCAAGCAAAAAAAAAAAAAAAAACCCTCAGGAGTAGCACACAGGCTCTAGGTTCAAGCCCTGGTACTGGCATTAACTTACTAACTGAATAAATACATAAATAAATAAATGGAATTGAACAACCTGAGCAGTTTACTTACCAAACTTGAGATATCATGGAGCACTTGTAGTTCAGAAAGAAAGAGCAGGTCAACCTTCAGCGAAACAAACAAAAAAAAAAAACCAAAAGAAAAAAAGCATTCTTCTCTCTCTCTCTCTCTCCATCTATCTATATATATACACACACACATATACATATATATATAATTAAAAGTAGTTGTACAAAGGAGTTGCCATTCAACAGAGCTATTTATGAATACAGTGCCTCTTGATCATTGTCACCCTTTTAACATTTTTGCAAGAAGAGAGGCAAGGGGCGAGGGGTAGAAAAATGAATGGGGAAATGAGCAGAATGCATTGTGTATGCCATAGAATCAAAAAAAGTAAGGGAAGGAAGGGGTGGGCCAAAGGGGTCAAAGATATTGAAGAAATGACTCAGATCAAGATGCATTGTATACAAAAAAAAAAAAGCCACGCAATGGTGGCTCACGCCTGTAATCCTAGCTACTCAGGAAGCTGAATTCTGAGGATCCAGGTTTGAAGCCAGCCCGGGCAGGAGAGACCTTGAAACTCCTATCTCCAATAAACCACCAGAAAACCGGAAGTGGTGCTGTGGCTCAAGTGGCAGAGCTCTTGTCTTGAGCTGAAGAGCTCAGGGACAAAGTCCAGGCCCAGAGTTCAAGCCCCACGACCAACAAAAAACAAAACAAAACAACACCCCCCCCCAAAAAAAAACAAACCTGCTTTGTTAAATGGCAAAAACTTCAATACATAACCGAATAATTAAGCATTCTTTTAAATATTCAGGAGCTAGATGTAATCCTAGCTACTGAGATCTGAGGATCATGATTTGAAGCTAATCTGGGCAGAGAAGTCCATGAGACTCTTATCTCTTAAACACACACACCCACACCCATACCCACACAGGCCACAAAACAACTACAAAAAAAGCCAGAAGTAGAACTGTGGCTCAAGTGGTAGAGCGTTAGCCTTGAGCAAAAAAAACTCAGGGAGAGTGTCCAGGCTATGGGACAGGCATAAAAAAATATACCTGGGATATCTATATTTGCCATTAATCAAATAAAGCACAATGTATTATAATGATTAACCCCCTAAGTGAATTTAAACCATTTTTCTGCTTTTGGTAGGTTTCACTGCACTTGAACTATTGGGCTAGGGGTGCAGTTTGGTATGGGACATTTGCCTATAGTGTATGCCAGGCCCTGGATTCCATCCCTAGCATCAGAAAAAACATACATATGAACAAAGCATTGCTTCCTAATAAAAAGGTGATAACCAGCTGGGCGCTGGTGGCTCACACCTGTAATCCTAGCTACTCAGTAGGCTGAGATCTGAGGATTGCAGTTAGAAGCCAACCTGGGCAGAAAAGTCTGTAAGACTTTTATCACTGATAAACTACTCAAAAAAGTCAGAAATGGTGCTGTGGTTCAAGTGGTAGAGTGCTTGCCTTGAGCAAAAGAAGCTCAGGGCAGCACCCAGGCCCAGAGTTCAAGCTCCAGGACTATCAAAAAAGAAAAAGAAAAAATATACTAATGGAAGAATTTACTGCAAGGGGAAATCTGTACAACTTTCTATTATCTCAACCTTCAGAATTTATACAATTTTTTTAAAAAAGGAACTATATCCATTTCACCCAACTGATGCCCCTACTTACTTCATTGTTCCTACTCAGAGAATTGAGAGGAAGTGAATTGAGAATAGAGTTTTCTTGAAACAGGCGATTCCGGAGTTGTCGTAAAGTGACTGAAAGATCTTCAAAAACGGAGTTAGCCTTCCCCACCATATACACCCTCTGCAAGAAGAATACAGGGTTGTAAGCTGAACTGTCAACCAACACAGAAATACCTTACAGCAATATTCATAATATTAGTTTTCAACTCTTTTGTGCCAGTCCTGGGGATTGAACTCAGCTGTTCCTTAGCTTTTTTTTTTTTTTGCTCATGGCTGGTGCTCTACTATTTGAGCCACAGCTCTATTTTAAGCTTTTTTTGCTGGATAATTGGGCCTAAGAGTCTCACAGATTTGTTTGCTGCTGGTGGTCCTGAACTGTGATTCTCAGATCTCAGTCTCCTGAGTAGCTAGGATGATAGGCATGAACAAGCAGCACCCAACATTTTTCAATTCTCGTTAAAAAAATGAAAGCTTATTATTTTTTGTCGGTCATGGGGCTTGAACTCAGGGCCTGGGCACTGTCCCTGCGCTCTTTCGCTCAAGGCTAGAACTCTACCACTTTGAGCCACAGAGCCACTTCTGGATTTTTTGATGGTTAATTGGAGATAAACGTCTCACGGAGACTTTTTCAGCCCAGGCTGGCTTTGAACCCTGATCCTCCGATCTCAGTCTCCTGAATAGCTAGGATTATAGGCATGAGATACCAATGCCTGGTATAAAGTTAATTTTTTCTAAGACACTTTAAATATAAAGTTTATCTTATGTAACTATAACCCCTTTGTATATGACTTTTATAGTAATAATTAAAAAAAATTTTAAATACAAAGTTTATCACTTACTTCCTCACTGGGAGCCAACTGCAAGACTACAGGAGTTTCTTCAGAGAATAAAGAATGAATGGAATTTGCAACACTGTCAAGACTAAAAGGAACTGCCTGAAATTAAAGAGTAAAAGTACAATTATTTCCTGAAACAAAGTAAGGAAATCATTTACATGTTATTAAGAAAGGAGAGTAAGCCAGGCACTGGTAGTTCATGCCTATAATCCCAGCTATTCAGGAGGCTGAGATCTAGGGCTTGAATTCAGGGCCTGGGCACTGTCCCTGAGCCTCTCTGTGCTCAAGGCTAGTGTTCTACCACTTGAGCCAAAGTATCACTTCCAGCTTTTTCTGAGTAGTTTATTGGAGATAAGAGTCTCACAGTCTTTCCTGCCTGGGCTGACTTTGAACCATTAGCTTCACATCTCAGCCTCCTGAGTAGCTAGGATTACTAGCTACTCCGTGGTGTGAGCCACTGGTGTCTGGCTGTTTTTTTCCTTTTAATGGGGATCTCTTTTTTCTATTAGCTCCCTTTACTGCTTAAAGGTTCATGTTTATAAGTAGCAAATTAATACTAATGTGCTTCTGGAAGAAGCCAATATGATTATATAAATCTTACTGATGAAATCCCAGCATCAAAATTAAGCTTAGCCATTTTGATTCTGTGCTTTCCTTAGCTGGTGGTACATACCTGTAATCATAGCTGCTCAGGAGGCTGAGATCTAAGGATCATGGCTTGAAGCAATCCCCAGCAGAAAAGTCCATGAGACTTTTATCTCCAATTAACCACTCAAAACCCAGAAGTGGTGCTGTGGCTCAAGTGGTAGAGCGCTAGCCTTGAACACAGAGACTCAGAGAGTGCCTAGGCCCTGAGTTCAAGTCCTATGATGGACAAAAAAAATCCACAAAATCTAGTGACTCTTGTCTCCCATGGAATAAGGCTACTATGTATGTTGGGTCCAGGAATTCCTGTGACAATGACTTGAAGCTCTAAATTTAAAACAGCTAATCAAAGCCAGACATTGGTGGCTCATGTCTATAATTCTAGCTATTCAGGAGGCTGAGATCTGGGACTGTGCTTTGAAGTCAGCCAGGGCAGGAAAGTCCCTAAGACTCTCATCTCGATTGAAGCACCTATAGAGCTAGAAGTGGAGCTGTGATTCAAGTGGTGAAGCTCTAGCCTTAAGCAAAAAAGCTCAGGAATGGCACCTAGGCTCTGAGTTCAAGTCACAGGACCAGCACCAAAACAAAAACTAAAACAGCTAATCAAAAGAAGTTTCATTCAGTGTAATTCTAAGTAATTTAGTGTAATTCTATGACATTCTGGGTTTACAATTTGTGAGGTTTGCCTTCTGAGTCTTTTGTCTCATTGGCCATCTTTGGCTAGGCAATGTACACCTAGCCAATCAGGATCAGCTTAGCATGTGAGACTACATGCTTTCAAATGTTTAGTTTGTGATTATATGCTAATAATACACACACACACACACACACACACACATACACACACATACACACACAGCTTTTATTTTTTTTTGCTAGTTGGGGAGAGGGGGGGTGCTTGAGCACAGGGCCTGGGCCCTGTCCCTGAGCTCCTTTTGCTCAAGGCCAGTGTTCTACCACTTGAGCCACCGCTCCACTTTTGGCTTTTTCTGTGATTAATTGGAAATAAGATTGTCCAGGCTACAGCCTCCTGAGTAGCTAGGATTATAGGCCTAAACTACTGGTTCAATTTTTTAACCAAAGGAGATAGCGGTGGAGGGGGTGCTCTACAGGACAGGTTAACTGAGTTTAGAATAAATTCTTCATGCCTGTATTTCTGGTTTTGTTTGGGGAACTCTTCTGGAGTCTTATAGTATCTTTATCCATAGACAATGGCCAAGTTTCAATACACTGATAACCACTATGTCCTTTTTAAAAAAGAAATTGCATTTTCAAAGAATTCCAAAGAAATTGTGTTTTAGTGAAACTATACATCAAAAACAGATAAGTCTGGGCACTGGTAGGTATACTTGTAATTCTAGTTACTCAGGAGGCTGAGATCTGAGTATCACAGTTCAAAGCCAATCCAGGCAGAAAACTCTGTGAGACTCTTATCTCCATCGAACTACGCAAAGCCAGAAGTGGCACTGTAGCTCAAGTGGTAGAGTGCTAGCTTTGAGCACAACGAGGCTCAGGGAGAGTGCCCAAGTCTTGAGCTCAAGCCTCAGAACTGGAAAACAATGATGATGATGATGATGATAATAATAAAATAGAGACACGAAGTATATTTAGAATGAAATTCATGATTGTCCACCGTCAGAGAAAATAAAAAATGTATCCATTTCATTGTTTAGAAATAATACTCACATTTTCCAAAGGATACGAGATGACATTTGCTGTGGGAAGGGCCAGTTTGTCTATTCCTTTCACCATTACCATAATGGTAGCCCGGGGCCTGTGGAATAGGTTACCCACTGCTAGGCCAGGCCAGGAAAGGTCCTAAAGGTTGAGAAGCACAAAAGAATGCTTAGTTATCAGCTCATGAAACCATTTCTCAAATCCTTTAGTCATACCTAGGAAGCGAAGTTAAGAGATTCTGGGGCCTGGCACTGGTGACTCCTAGCTACTCAGGAGGCTGAGAGCCGAGGGTCATGGTTTGAAGCTAGCCAGGGCCAATTAATCACAGAAAAACTGTGAAATGGAGCTGTGGCTCAAGTGGTAGAGCTCTAGCCTTGAGCAAAAGGAGCTCAGGGACAGAGCCCAGGCCCTTGTAAAAAAGCCCCAGGACAGGCAAAGGAAGTTCCAGGCCTTAACATTCAAAGGGAAAAGTAACATTTTATTTAAGGCCGCAGTTATACAATCTCCTAACCTAGGATGTCGAATACCAATTTCTAGCTTCTTTATTTTCTTAAACTTCTATGGAGATTAAAAAATCGAATTGAAAGTCATCTCTAAACATCTGTGGTAAAGAGTAGACAAGTAAATAAAACATAGAACTTTTCAAATTCCAGATTGTAAAACACCCTCTTCTTCAATAGCCATTGGTGTGCCCTTCTTTTTTTTTTTTTTTTTGGTTGGTCATGGAGCCTGAACTCTGGGCCTGGGCACTGTCCCTCAGCTCTTCAGCTCAAGGCTAGCACTCTACCATTTGAGCCATAACAACACTTCTGGCTTTTTTCTGCTTATGTGGTACTGAGGATTTGAACCCAGGGCCTCATGCATGCAAGGCAAGCACTCTACCACTGAGCCACCTTCCCAGGCCCGGGTATGCCCTTCTTATAATTATCACTCCCCAACCGCCCCCTCCCCCCCCCGCCCTGTACAGGTTCTAGGGCTTGAACTCAGGGTCTGTACACTGTTACTGAGCTTTTGTACTCAAGGTTAATGCTCTACCATTTGAATCACAGCTCCACTTCCAGCTTTTTTGGTGCTTAATTGTAGACAAGAGTCTCATGGACTTTCTTGCCTGGACCGGCTTTGTACTACAATTCTTAGATCTCAGCCTCCTGGGTAGCTAGGATTACAGGCGTGAGCCACTGGCACCTGGCTTGATATATTTTCTTATATACAAGAACATCACTACAGTGAATAAATAATTACACTGTTAATAATGTCTGATTTAGTTTCAGAAGCTAAGCCTGAAGCACTAATACAAAATTTCACCCAAACTACAAATTTGTTGTTGTTTTGCCAGTCCTGGGGCTTGAATTCAGGGCCTGGGTACTGTCCCTGAGCTTCTTTTGCACAAGGCTGGCACTCTACCACTTGAGCTACAGAACTACTTCTGGCTTTTTCTGTTTATGTGGTACTGAGGAATTGAACCCAGGGCTTCAGGTATACTTGGCAAGCACTCTACCACTAAGTCACATTCCTACCCCCCTGAGATTTTTTTGTACTCAAGGTTAGCACTCTACTGCTTTTTGTGCTTAATTGGAGGTAAGAATCTCAAAGACTATTCCTATCCTGCTCAGGCTGGTTTTGAAACACTATCCTCAGATCTCAGCTTCCTCAGTAGCTAAGATTACAGGCTTGAGCCACCAGCGCCAGGCTACAAATTTATTTGTTTTCAGTAGCATTTGTATTCTATACCAAAACCCAATACTGTCTATTGATTTTTTGGGTATTAGAAGAAATCAACAAAATGTTTCTGTTTGATTTTTTTAATTGACATAGATTAATTATACAAAGGAGTTTTACTGTGATATGTCTACACATGCATATGATGTGTTATCAAATTCACTCCAATAAGCATGTTTTTATAAGGAGTTACAAACTTTGTTTTTAAGTACATGTACCTCTTTGACAGAGAAGCCCATGGATAATGCAGCAACATCTGGGATTCGATCTCCTGGTATAGGCCAATTTCCATTTCGGAAAACAACAGATCCTGGAGATCGCAATATACTAAACTCGTTCCCCAAAACACCTGAAAAGAAAATAGATTAGGAAATGAAATATCAGCATATAACTGTCTTGAACCCACCATAAAGATGATGAGACAGAATACATGTGCTGCCATTCATCACTGCCTTAGCATACTAAATTGTGATTGGGCAAAATGTAGACTGCTGAACAATACATTCTTTAGGGAGTACGAGGGACAGAATCTAGAGCCTCGAGCTTAAACCCACATGCTACCACAGATCTGAAACTCTCCCAAGCCCTAGGTCTGACTTATACACTTAACCTGAGCAATTAATTCTTTTTCTTTTTTGAACTCAGGGCCTGAGCTCTGTCCCCGAGCCTCCTTGTGCTCAAGGCTAGCACTCTACCACTAAAGCTACGGTGCCACTTATAGCCTTTTCTGAGTAGTTTGTTAGATAAGAGTCTCATGGAGGGGGGGGAGAAGGATTGGGACTGGGGGGGGGAGGCCAGGAAGGGATGTGAAGGGTAAACAAAGGAGGAGGCTGCAATGCTTGATAAGAAATGTATGCATTATCCTGCCCATGTAATTGTTACCCCTCTGTACAGTATATTCACAAATAAAATAAATAAATTAATTAATTTTAAAAAAAGAGTCTCATGGAGTTTACTGCCCAGGCTAGCTTCGAACCGTGATCCTTGGATCTCAGTCTCCTGAGTAGCTAGGACTACAGGTGTAAGCTACTGGTGTCCAGATCAAAAAAGCAATTTGAATATATTAAGTCATTCCATGGATCTGAGTCCAATTTTGATGACTGGTTCTTTTCAAAGGATCAAAATAGCAATTTTAAGGATGGGTTCATAACACATACAATATTTAAATTCTTTATTGTGGGTGTGTGTTGATGCTGGGGCTTAAACTCAGAGTCTTATTCATGCTCTCACTTGGCTTTTCCACTCAAGGCTGGTGCTCTACCACTAAAGGCACAGCTCCATTTCTGGCTTTTTGGTTGTCAATTCTTTTCTTTCTTTTTTTCCTTTTCTTTCTTTCCTTCCTTCCCATTTCCCCTTCTCTCTCTCCTCTCTTCTCTCCTTCTTCTCCTCCCTCCTTCTCTCTTCTCTCTCTTCTTCCCCCTCCTCCTTTCCCTCTCCCTGTCTCTCTCCTCCCTCTCCTCTCTCTTGTGCTGGGTGGGCCTGGAGCTTGAACTCAGGGCCTGGGTGCTGTCCCTGAACTTTTTTTACTTAAAGCTAGTGCTTTACCACTTGAGTGCCTTACCACCCCTTCCAGCTATTTTGGGTGATTAATTAAAGATATGAATCTCAGACTTTCCTGCCTGAGCTGGCTTCAAGCTCAGATCTCACCCTCCTGAGTAGCTAGGCTAACAGGCATGAGCCACAGGTGCCCAGCTTTAAGTACAATGTTGCTCCCCCTCCCCCTCCCTTTTTAAGTTCAAGTTGGGTGTCCGGGGCTCATGTCTGTAATCCTAACTAAAATCAAGGTTCAAAGCCAGCCCAGGCAAAAAAAAAGTCTGGAGACTCTGTCTCCAAATATAGTCATCAAAAAGCCAAACTGGAGGCATGGTTCAAGTGGCAGAGCACTAGCCAAGCAAAGACCTGAGTTCAAGACCCCGGAAGCAGGAAAAAAGGAGCAGGTATGACACAAGATTTTCCTAATGATTAAGACAGCCTTCTTATAGATGGCCCTTAACAAGGATGTGTGGTAATTGTGGTGAATTAGAAATTAGTAGCATTTCTCCAGAATTCAAAAGCAAACAAACAGAACACAAAACCCTGGCACACACTAAAAAGGAAGAACTTTAGATCTCTGAATCATTTCTACCATCTACAAAAGGAAAACTTGTGGGGCTGGGAAGGTGGCTCAGTGATAAGAGTGCTTGCCTTGCATGCATGAGGCTCTGGGTTCGATTCCTCAGTACCACATAAGCAGAAAAAGCCAGAAGTGGTAGGTGCTGTGGTTCAAGTGGTAGAGCACTAGCCTTGAGCTGAAGAGCTGAGGGACAATGCCCAGGCCCAGAGTTCAAGCCCCATGACTGACAAAAAAAAAAAAAAAAGGAAAACGTGTGCCAGGCACTGGTGGCTCATGCCTATAATCCTAACTATTCAGGAGGCTGAGATCTGAGGATCACAGTTCGAAGATAGCCTGGACAGGAAAGTCCATGAGTCTCTTATCTCCAATTAACCACCAGAAAACCAGAAGTAAGGATGTGGCTCAAAGTGGTAGAGTACTATCCTTGAGTGAAAAAGCTCAGGGACAGCAGCCAGGCCCTGAGTTGAAGCCCCACGACCACCACCACCAACAAAAATAAGACTTGTAAAATTCTAGGATTTCACTATAAAACTTTAGCAGGTTAGTACATCCTAAGATAGATACCTCCAGCTTTCCTTAAGTACCTTAGGCACACCTAATAAAATATGGTTGTCCAGTGGGCATTGGGGGTAGGGAAGGTGGAACTGGAATGTGTGTGCATGTTACTAGATGGTGAATGAAATGCTTCAAACTTCAGAGACAAAGTCTAGGAAATAGTATTCTCACATCTGGAGGATGAGAAAATGTATTCTCTAATGATTACGTCAACTAGTCTAAGAGTATGCCATCTAGAATTAAAAGATGAAGGATAAAGCCAGATGCTAGTGGCTCATGCCTATAATCCTAGCTAATCAGGAGGCTGAGATCTGAGGATCGATGTTCGAAGCCAGCCCAAGCAAGAAAGTCCCCAAGAGACTCTTAACTCTAACCACCAGAAAACTGGAGGTGGCACTGTGGCTCAAAGTGGTAGAGCACTAGCCTTGAGCAAAAGAGCTCAGGGACAATGCCCAGACCCTACGTTCAAGCCCCATGACCAACAAAGGAAAGAAAAAAAAGAAACGTACTCTTTACTTGACTTGTATAACTATAACCTCTCTGTATGTTTATAATATTGATTTTTTAAATGTTAAAAAAAAGGCCAGGTACTCAGGAGGCTGAGATCTGAGGATCGTGGTTCCGGCCTAGACAGGAACATCCATGAGACTCTTATCTCCAATTAACCACCAGAAAGCCAGAAGTGGCACTGTGGCTCAAGTGGTAGAGCATTAGCTTTGAGCTGAAGAGCTCAGGGACAGCACCCAGGCCCAGAGTTCAAGCCCCCATGACTGACAAAAAAAAAAGTTAAAAAAAAAGATGAAGGATGAGACTAAAGGGATTAATTTACAACCCCTATAAGGCTAAGAATAGGTATTTGGCTTCCTGGTCCATTATAGGGTTTTTTTGGGGGGAGGGGTGGGGAGATGAGGGGGTGATGAAGATGGAACTCAGGGCCCAAAGAATGTTAGGCAAGAGCTCCCCTGAGCTGATACCCAGCCCACCCATATGTATTATCCTGGGAACAAGTGCCTAGTAGAAACTTTGGGCTTCCTATGAAAAGATTAGCACCAAATCCAAAACAAATCTTGGCCATGCAGACTATTGGCAAAACATTTTATTAAGGCATCAGCTGCTCTTGCTGTAAGGAAAGCAGTACTTAACAAGACAGGAGGACAGAGTCGCGGGACAACAGTAAATGTTTTGGTGGTTGTAATATTGACAGTAAATAAAAGGTCTCAGAATGGTGTGGATGCAACCAGACCAGTTCAGAATTTCACTCTAGCCCAGCAACAGGGCAAGGGTTTCCAACTTGTTCTAGTCCAAGACCAGAATGGAACCAACAGACATCCAGCCTCACTGTAGGAGTAACACTGTTCAGGGCTTTCAAGGAAAAATCCAGAATCTACCACTGGGTACCTGGTGGCTTACACATATAATCCTAGCTAATTCAGGAGGCTGAGATCTGAGGATCACGGCTCAAAGCCAGCCTGGGCAGGAAAGTCCGTGAGACTCTTATTTCCAATAAACCACCAGAAAACTGGAAGTGGTGCTGTGGCTCAACGTGGCAGAGTGCTAGCCTTGAGCACAAAAGCTCAAGGACAGCACCCAGACCCCAAGTTCAAGCTCCATGATCAACCAAAAAAAAATCCAAAATCTAACACCCAGGCACCTTAGTAGTTTTATTTACAACCTTGAGGAAAACAAGCCCAAGAGACCAAGTTCTTTTTTTTTTTTTTTGGTCGGTCATGGGGCTTGAACTCTGGGCCTGGGCGCTGTCTCTGTGCTCTTCAGCTCAAGGCGAGCACTCTACCCCTTGAGCCATAGCGCCACTTCCAGTTTTCTAGTGGTTAATTGGAGGTAAGAGTCTCACGGACTTTTCTGCATGGGCTGGCTTTGAACCGTGATCCTCAGATCTCAGTCTCCTCTGTAGCTAGGATTACAGGTGTGAGCCACCGGCGCATGGCAAGAGACCAAGTTCTTTAATGAACCATACATAGCCACCAAAGGAAGCAAATTGTGATCTAGAGATAGCTTTGCTTTGAGATCTGGCCCTACTATGTAAATCTGTATCACTTGTACTTAGATTCAATGATGATGCTGCCTCATTCCTCCTTCAGGAGCCTTTAGTCATGGGCTCCTCCACCAGGAAGGATCATCTGGTCGAAACTGATGTCCTTTGCTGGTATCAAATGAGATGTCTGAGATGTCTTGACCCAAACCTGTAATCCAAGCTATCCAGGAGGCTAAGATCTGAGGGAGTGCAATTTGAAGTCAGCAAAGGTAGGCAAGTAGGTGAGACTCTTAATCCAATTAACCAGCAAAAAAAAGAGTTGGAAATAGAATTGTAGCTCAAGTAGTAGAGCACTAGCCTTAAGGGGGAAAAAAAAAAGCTCAGGGATAGTCCTGAGTTCAAGTCCCAGGATCAGCACCAAAAAAAAAAAAAAAAAAAAGAAAGAAAGAAAAAGATTTCTAGTAGGAAGCCTCTCCTTTACTTGAATGGTACTGCTAAGGATTGACAAGGTCTCAATTTACAAACATGGTATTTGCCAGTAATTAGCTCCATGGTTCCAACTTCTAGTTCTTTGAAGTGTCTCCTGATCCTAAACTACAATGGGCTTTCTTACTTTGAAGTTCTTGCATTCAATCTCCCCATACCACCAGTCTCTACTTTCACAAAGTCCAGGATTCCTTCAGCAGCC